CAACTTATGCTTGGCAAGTTAAGAATGCTGTGCTAGTATTAAAAGATGTAAATGATAATAAAAGAATTATTATATTGGAAATACAAGAGTAGAAATTGCATTAATAGTTCTGGTATGTCCTGCTTTCATAGAGACTTCATAAACACTGGTTTAAACCATTAAAAGTCGTTCTTTAAAATCTTAAAAAAAAAGAAAAAAAAAGAAAAGAGATTCTTACCACTGGACTGAGAGGCAACATCATGATGGGTGGGGAGGATATTGAAACTGTCAGCAGTCTCTTCTTGCTTGAATTCACAATACCCTTGGTACCAGTAGTAAGGAAATAAGGAGATGGACAGCACTGGGAAAATCTGCAGTTAGGGACCTCTCCAAATTACTGAGGAGTAATGATGTCAGTTTGAAGACTAAGGTGTGTATGATTCAGTCCATAGTCTTACCAATCACTTGCTATGCATCTAATAGCTGGACAGTAAGGATGACAGAAAAAGAATCGATAACTTTGAGCTGTGGTGTTGGAGAAGAGTACTGAACATCCCATAGACAGCTAAGAGAACAGATATGTCTTACAGAGGGTACAGCTGGTGTGCTCTTTGGAGGCAAGCATGATGAAGCCTCATATACTTTTGACATGTTATTAGGAGGGGCTATTCCTTGGAGAAGGACATGATGCTGGGAAGGGTGGAAGGTCCCCAAAGTAGAGGAAGATCCTTGACCAGGTGGATTAATATGGTGACTGCCACAATGGACTCCTGTGTGTCAGAAAGTGTGAGAATGGCACAGGATAGAACAGGGCTCAGACCTTTTGTTCATAGAGTTGCTATGAGTCATACTGGACTTCATGACACCTAACAACAGTAACAATCATATCCACAATGTAACAACACTCGTCCAACTTGCACTGGGTAATTCTCATCCTCTTTAATCTTTTTATTCCACCCCTCTCTTTATTTAGGATTTTATTCTTGGATTAATGCGGCTTTTCAGACCTCACAGAGTAGATTTTTCTAAGGAATGCTGCCTACGGTGTCATTAGGGACCTTATGGGCCTAACTATTATTTAGCAAGTCAATGAGTCAAGGGGTGAGTTTTCTCAGGAGTTATACCTGCCTCCATCAGAGCATGAGCCTAAACTTTTTAACATTTTTTTTTAGTTTTGTTTTATATTTTGCCTCACTATATTCAGGATTTTCTACTGTGATCGCTTTTTGACTCCCTTTTAATCTGCCCAGGGCTGTCTTTCACTAGATCACAACGAGGGAGCTTCTTGCTACCAAGAGACCCCCGACTCAGAAGCCCATGGTGGAGGAAGGGTTAAACACCTGGCTCTCCTCAAATGTATGGTGCCCCATTTCCAGAATAGAGGGTGCTCACACTGATCCAGTCCAGCAAGGCCTGAGGTTAGTTACAAGACAAATGAAGAGATTCACGTTGCGTGTCCTTAGGATGAAAATCACAAAATCACGTAAAGTGAGAGACAGTGCTGGGCAGTGTCTTCTATGTGAGCGTAACAGGGTGTTCAATGCAGATCAGAGACACTCATTCCCGGATTCACAGTGGAAATGTTTCAGGGGTTGGGGGGAGGGAATCAAGAAAGCAGTAATCCCCTCCAACTTGGTGCACAAAACAGGAATTTAAAAAGAAACACTTAAAAAAGAAAGTAATTCCTTTCCCCTACCCTCCATGAATGTGTATATATATTTCCTTCCCCCAAAGGCAAGTAATCAATCAATTCCTCTAAATGGCATTGAACCACAACACAGTCTCAAGGGACTGGAAATTAATATTTCTTGCATGCAAAGTACCAACTGTTTAATCTTTTAAATAGTTTTATTAAAAGAGAAAGCTTCGGGGAGCTCTGGTGGCCTAGTGGCAAGAAGCTGCAACTACAATCCCAGAGGTGCACGGTTTAAATCCACCAGATGCTCTGCCGGGGAAGGAGGGGCAATCTCCTCCTGTACCAGTCAGATCTGATTTGATGGTACACGCACACAAAAATAATAAAATTAAAAAAAAATTTTTTTAAAAAAGACAAAGCTTCACTTTTAACTGCAATTTACTTCTAACTTAAGAGTCCAAGGTCAGATTTCCATTTGGACTCCTAACTGAAGCCCTGGATCAGTGGTGTTGAACGTTGCCAGATCTATGCTCTCTCTGGGTGTGATTTACCCACGGCTCTTAGCTCCAAACTTCCTTTCATCTTGCCCCTGGACTGATCCTCTCACCGAAGAGCCAGAGGAAGGTATGGGAATTTCTAAAAAAGGAGACTAATGAAACATAATGTAAATGAAAGATTGTATAAAACACTACATGCATGAAAGTGTATATGAATGATTATATGTGAACCAATAAAAGTATTAATAAAAGTAGAGCATTTATTATACTTAGTTGTCATAATGATTATTGATTTCTAAAGTAGTTGTATGTATGTGGTATAATCTAGAACATCAGATCTAGCAAGTGCAAGCTGACTGGATAATTCAGACCTTATTTTTATAGAAAAAGTTGTTCAGGCATCTGAAGGGGTATTACTACTGCAAAAAATGCTTATATATCGTTTGAAGGCTTTGGGAATGCTGACTGAGGGGCAAACTGTGGGAGAAGTAAAGGGCAGAGCAATAGAAGGAACTAAATCATATTGTAATGCATAGAAGTGGCAGAAAAAAGTGGAGATTCTGGACAGGACCCAATTATCATAAACTGCCAGACATGAATACTCATTCAAGGGAGCACAGAGATGAAAGTATGGCAACACTTCTGCCTAACCTTATGTGTGAAGATCATTAACCTCATTTTCAGACAGGCACCTGAGTCTCACTAGGACTCAAGTGGAGGTCAGCTTTCCTACTAACTTCAGCCCCTTCTGCTACAGTGCACTGTGTTGTTGTCCAGAAGTTTATAGGAAAAGAGGTTTTCTGCAATTTTCTACAGCCTTTAGAAAATACACACATTCAAGGTTACACACATAAAACAGATTAACATTGGTGTTATGTGAAAATAGATTAACATTGGTGTTATGTGCCGTTGAATCGACTGCATCTAATAGCAACCATATAGATGCACAATAGCTCTGAACTCTGCTCTATTCTGAGCCAATCTGATTGTCTCTAGCACACCTGCCCATATTACCCCAGTTATTGTGTCAATCCATCTCATCTGGAATCTTCCTTGCCTAAGCTGTCCCTCCACCCTTCCAAGCATGATGTCCTCCAAGGACTGGTCCCTCCTGGCAACATGCCCAAAGTATGTGAGACAGAGCTTCAAAATCCTTGCTTCCAAAGAGTAACTTGGTTTACCTTCTTCAAAACAGATCTGTTTGTTCTCTTAGCAGTCCATGGTATGTTCAAAACTCTTCTCTAGCACCACAACTCAAAGGCATTGATTAATCCTCTGTCATCCTTAGTCATTGTGCAGATCTTTGATGTATAGCAAGTAATTACGAAGACCATGGCCTGAATCAGGCACCTCTTGGTTTCTAGACTGATATTGTTACTCATCAGCACTCTGGAGAGGTCTCTGAGAGCAGACTTTCCTAATTGTAATTCATCTTTGATTTCCTGACAGCTAGCTGGTGCCTTCCTTGAGTGTTAATTGTGGAGCTGAGCAAGCTAAAATTGTTAACAAAACAATCTCAATCTCTTCTCCATCCATCATGGTGCTGCCAATTGGCACAGGGGTGAGAATCTTTGTCTTCTTGATGTTGAGCTCCAATTATTTTTTTTTCCCCCCAAGACTGCAGTCTTTGACTTTCTGCAGCAAATACATCAGGTCCTCCTCAGTCTCAGCAAGCAAGGTTGTGCCATCTGCATAATGCAGGTTGTTGATGAGTGTCCCTTCCATTCTTGATGCCACATTCTTCCTCACTGAGCCCAGCCTTCCAAAAGAACTGTTCTGAATATAGACTGAAAAGGTATGGAAAAAGGACACTTCCCTGATGAACTTCCTTTCTGATTCTGAAACATGAAGTCCTTGTGTTGTTCTGATGACTGCCTCCTGGTCTAAGTATAGGTTTCACATGAGCATAAACAAGTGTTCTGGGATTCCCATTTTTCTCAAGGTTAACCACAATTTGTTATGATCCACCCAGTCAAACCTTTGCATAGTTAACAAAACACAGGCATTCCTCTGGTACTCTCTGCTTTCATCCAAGATTCATCTGACATTGGCTATGATGTTCCCAGTGCCATGGCCTCTTTCAAACCCAGTTTGTATTTCTGGCTGTTCTCGGATGTACTGTTGCAGTTTTTTTTATTATCTTCAGCAGAATTTTGTTTATGTGTGTGAT